ATTTGTTTGTTTTCTCCTTCATTTCCAGTGTCCTAGGAGATGTGTTAGTAAACATATTGGTACAAGCTATATCTGATATTTTGTTGCCTTTATATTCTTTTTAGATTCTTATGATTTCCCATTTTATGTTTAAGTCTTTTTCCATCTTGAGTTGATTTTTGTTTATGGTGTAAGTTGGTGGTCAAGTTTCATTTTTTTGCATATATCTGTCCAATTTTCCCAGCACCATTTATTGAAGAGATTGTCTTGACTGCATTGTGTGCTCTTGCCTCCTTAGTCAAATATTAATTGAGCATAATGGCTTTATTCGACTTAAGGGTTCTCTGTTCTGTTGCATTGGTCTTTGTGTCTGTTCTTGTACCAGTACCATGCTGTTTTGAGAACAGTGGATTTGTAATATAACTTTATATCTGGTATTGTGATCCCTCCAACTTTGTTCTTTTTTTCTCAGGATTGCTGCAGCTATTCAGGGTCTTTTTTGATTCCATATAAATTTGAGGGGAGTTTGTTCTAGGTCTGTGAAATATGCCTTTAGTATTTTAATGGGGATTGCATTGAATCTATAGATTGCCTTGGGTAGTATGGACATTTTAATGATGTTGGTTCTACCAACCCATGAACACTTTATATTCTTCCACTTGTTTCGGTCTTCCTCTAGCTCTTTTTCAATGTCCTATAGTTTTCCGAGTACAGGTCTTTTACTTCCTTAGTTAAGTTTATTTCTAAGTATCTTAATTTTTTTGTTGCAATGGGAAATGGGATTTTTTTTTTTTTAGTTTCTCTTTCTGTGAGTTCATTATTGGTGTCTAAAAATGCCATAGATTTCTGGATGTTAATTTTGTATCCTGCTACCTTGCCAAATTCATTTATTAAATCCAGTAGTTTTTTGATGGAGTCTCTCGGGTTTTCTATGTACAATATCATGTCATCAGTGAATAATGACAGTTTTACTTCTTTTCCAATTCGGATTCCTTTTATTTCTTCTTCTTGTCTGATCGCTATGGCTAGAGGTTAGTAATTCTTTTAATTATATTTTGATTTTTAGAGAGAGAAAGAGACATTGATTTGTTGTTCCACTTATGCACTTATTGGTTGATTCTTGTATGTTCCCTGACCAGGGATTAAAACTGCAACCTTGGTGTATCAGGACAGTGTTCTAACCAATTGAGTTACCTGGACAGGGCTAAGGTTAGTAATTCTTAATAGTTCACTTTGTTGGTTTCCATAAGTAGCCCTTAATTATGCATTCAAATGATTATGGCTTCGGATCTAAACAGAAAACTTCTGTCCTTGAATTGCTTTGTGGCTCCTCAAGATGATTCTTGTGGCTGAATTTGAAAAAGTATCTGTTAAAATTGGACACGATTGACCAAGCCAAGCTGATCTGAAGTAGAATCAGAAAACCTGAATTACCACAGAGGAGTTTACTCTAAGGAGCAGTCAACCTACTAGGTGGAACTTCACTCTGCTCATAGTTACTTTCAGGTTCTGTTCTTGCATTAAAATTGTCTCTACTGCTGTTCTTGTGTTGTTCTTTGCTTTTTTGTGTGTCATATTAAACTACTACCCAATGTAAAGAAAAAGTAAAAACCTGTAGGGTGTCTTGATCATGTCACTATTATAACTGATAACTGTAAGAATATCTAAATATGTAAAATTTCCTGCTACTGAATATAAGAGATTAGCAATGTTTGGTTAGAAAGTAGAGTAGATGCAGCTTAGGTTTTTCAGAAGGAATTTTAGAAGGCCAGTTGTTTAATAAAGAGTTTCTTGTCTAGTTACTTGAGGATGAGCAGGGAGTAGTGAAGCAAAGGCTCTTTACCATCACTTACCTAAAAGAAGTAACACCATCTAAGATAATTATTTTAAAGACTTTTAAGGGGAAACAATAAAGAAGAAAGGGGTCTGTGGCATTTAGTTGTACTAGAGACCAGCACATGAACCTGATATTCATGCCCCTGTAGCACAGTGTGGATCACGAGTTTGAATTATATTGGAAAATGTAATATGCTGTTGAAATGTTAATTATAAGTATCATTAAAAAGTTACTCTTATATGTGAATGAAATCTCAAGTTCTTAGGAAATGGATTATATAGAAGAAGTAATATTATTACTGTAGATATTAAAGAAACTAGTACATGTTCACATCCAAAACTAAGCAAAATTTTTTGGTGAATTAAATCCTGTTGTCTCAAAATACTTTCAACTTTAAATTTTCTTTGTAGGGAAGATAGTATAAATTGTCAGTGTTCCAACATATTTATCCTCATTTTACAAGGGCATCTTGTGGTTTAGCCAAAAAACACTCATGCCTTTTTCAGTTAAACATTTTTAAATATATACACTCTTACTTTTGAAATGCTTGCTTTATAGGTCCCTCATATGTTAGTTTTTAAAATTAGATAAAAGTAATCCAATAAAATAAATATTGTTTAATATATTAGCTATGTCTTATTGTTTTTAATTGATGAATTTTAAAAAAATGATCCCAAGTAATAGTGACTTAAGTATTTTTTTACTTAAAATTTCTTTAACTCTATAGAAATTTGCATGTTTACAAAAATGCAATGAAAACGTCTTTGTGATAAAAATTTAAAATTCTGATCTTGTAGTTCAAGTACCTCTCAGTATCTCAGTATTAAGAGGTAGCACTAATGAAGAAGTTTGGGCTTTCCACACACAGCTGAACCTTAGTTGTACACTCTCCCCTCTTTAAAATATTAATAAAATCTGCTACTTAGAGTACAGTGTGTACAGTTCTTTTTGTCATTATCCTTACAGTATATATTTAAAATTCTTTTTTTCAAAGTTACTAAGTTTATTTTCATCTTCTCTACTTCTTCAATATGTTATATAATTTATTTATAATGCCGTTACATGTGTTTGTTATAGTTTGTACTTTTTATTCTCCCTCTCTGCTGAGTGATTTAAGTTACGTACGTGTGTGTGTGTGTGTGTGTGTGTGTAAAACCATTGCCTAATTACGCTATACAAAAAAGTTCTCAGAGAAGTGTCACATCCCCCCATGATTACAATCCTATCCTCATTTCCTCTATAATACTTTTTTCTCACAGAGATATGCGTTATTCTGAAACTACTTTATGTATACACAGGAATTGAACAAATAAGTAAATATATTGAAGATAATGAGACACAGATTTATCATTATCAGAGAACAAAGAAACAAATAAAGGAAAGGAAGAAGGCTGGAATAAGCACTGGTATTCAGTTGGATTCAGAAGTATCAGTATGAACTCATGGTTCTTAGTGTATATATAGACAAATAGATAATACAAATATAGATAGGAGATATATATATACATACATATATTGTACATACATATATTTCCAAGCTGACAAGGCATGAAAACTGTGACATCCAGTAGGAATGAGTATACCTAGTACCCAGATCTGGGACTCAATACCATTTTCCAATAGAATACCAAAGTTCCTTGTGTAAATGACTGATTCTAGAACAGAGGTATGGGAAATATTAGCTAAGGCTGCAACACAGGAAACATAGAGAGCCCCAAACAAGATGAACATAAAGATATCCACACCATAATTAAAATGGAAAAGGTAAAAGACAGAGAATATTAAAAGCAGCAAGAGAATAGCAGTTAGTTACCTATAAAAGAGCCCCCATAAGTCTGTCAGCTAATTTCTCAACAGAAATTTTGCAGGCCAGAAGCGATTGGCAAGAAATATTCAAAGTGATGAAAAGCAAGGACCTATATCAAAGATACTCTACCTAAAGAGAAAGAAAAGAGAGGTAGATAAGATTACAAAGCAAAGCTATCATTTAGAATCAAAGGACATATAAAGACCTTCCCAGACAAGTAAAAGCTAAAGCAGTTCATCACCACCAAACCAGTATTACAAGACATGTTAAAAGGATTTCTTGAAGAAGGAAAGATAAAAAATATGAATAATAAAATGGAAATAAATTATATACTTATCAATAATTACTTTAAATGTAAATAAATTAAATATTCTAATAAAAATATATAGGGTAGCCAAGTGGATAAGAAAATAAGAACTATACATATCCTGCCTATAAGAGATTCACTTAAAATTGAAAGACACATACTGAAAGGGATGAAAAAAATATTTCGTGTAAATGGAAACAAAAAAAAAGCTAGAGTAGCATTGCTTACATTAGACAAAACAGACATTAAAACAAAGGCTACAATAAGAGACAGAAGAAAGATCCAGCAACTCCACTTCTGGATATTTATTCAAAGAAATTCAAAACACTAATTTGAAAAGACATACGCACTCCTATGTTCATTGTAGCATTATTTACAATGGTCAAGATACGGAAGAAAACCTAAGCGTCCATTGATACATGAATTGATGAAGTGGTACATATATACTATGGAATATGAATCAGCCATGAAAAGAATGAAATCTTGCCATCTGCAACACATGGATGGACCTACAGGGTATTATGCTAAGGGAAGTTAAATCAGAAAGTGAAAGACAAATATCATATGACTTCATAGAAGATTATTTGACTTAGGTGGTGGGCACAGAATGCAATATACAGATCGTGTATCATAGAAACCTATATAATCTAATTAACCAATGTAACCTCAATAAATTTAATAAGTAAAAATTAGAGTTTATTTTAAAAGAAAAAATAAAAACAAAATAAATGAACACACTAACCCATAAAGAGAACATTTTGATGATTGCCAGATGGAAAAGGAGTTTGGGAGATGGGTGAAAAAGGGGAAGGGATTAAGATATACAAATAGCCAGTTACAAATAGTCATGGGAATGTAAAGTGCAGCATAGGGAATATAGTCAGTAGTAATATAATAACCAAGTATGGTGTCAGGTACTAAATTCACCAGGGTGACCACTTCGTAAGTTATATAAATGTCTAATCACTATGTTGTACACCTTAAACTAATATAATATTGTATGTTAAGTGTAATTGAAAAATAAAAAAATTATTTAAAAAATAAGGTAAGCCTGGAACAATTAGTAGGGAAGTTCTAAAAACAATTATCATGGCATATCAAAAGAGCCAACTTGAAGGAGCTCCCAATGGCTAAATCTAGAGTAATATTACTAGCAAAATAATCGTATTGGACTATGGAATGAAATATCTATTCATCCATATTAATATAAATACTTAAGTGAATATAAGGGGAAATGGGAAAGTTCTTATAGTAAGTAGTAGGGAAATGGAAAATCACCACTCAGCAAACACCATGCTAATAACTGTTAAAGGCAAGAATGGATGCTAAAAATTGTGGGTGAACATATAATGGGGAAAAAAAGGATATTTACATAATCCCAACCCTATCCTGACAGACACTACTTTAACCAGGTGATCAATGTTAATGTCATCCTATAGAATAAAGAAGTAATACGCAAATTGATCATCATTCCCTTGCACAAGATGGCCGCCCCCATGTGGTTACAAGATGGTCACCCCAAGATGGCCAGCAGGGGAGGCCAATTGTGGGTGATCAGGCCTGAAATGGAGGGCAGTTGGGGGCGACCAGGCCTGCATTGTAGGGCAGTTGGGGGCGACCAGGCCTCTAGGAGAGGGCAGTTAGGGGCAACCAGGCCTGCAGGGGAGGGCAGTTGGGGGTGACCAGGCCTGCAAGGGAGGGCAGTTGGGAGGGACCAGGTCCGCAGGGGAGGGCAGTTGGGAGGGACCAGGCCTGCAGGGGAGGGCAGCTGGGGGGACCAGGCCGGAAGGAGAGGGCAGTTGGGAGGGACCAGGCCTGCAGGGGAGGGCAGTTGGGGGGACCAGGCAGGAAGGAGAGGGCAGTTGGGGGTAATTGGGCCAGCAGGGGAGCAGTTAGGCATCGATCAGGCTGGCAGAGGAGTGGTTAAGGGCAATCAGGCAGGCAGGCATGCAGTTGAGAGCCAGCAGTCCCAGTAGTGAGAGGGATTGTTAAACCAGCAGTCGAATATCCCCTGAGGGATCCCAAATTGGAGAGGGTGCAGGCTGGGCTGAGGGACATCCTCCCGCCCCCCAGTGCACAAATTTCATTCACCAGGCCTCTAGTTAATAATAATTCATAGTGACATCATATATCACTGGTGTGATAGACTTTTTTTATTGAATTTACTGGGGTGACATTGGTTAATAAAATTATGTAGGTTTCAGGTGTACAAGTCTACTTCATCTGTGTATTATATTGTGTGTTTAACACTCTATGTCAGTGGTTCTCAACCTTCTGGCCCTTTAAATACAGTCCCTCATGTTGTGACCCAGCCATAAAATTATTTTCGTTGCTTCTTCATAACTGTAATGTTGCTACTGTTATGAATCATAATGTAAATATCTGATATGCAGGATGGTCTTAGGCTACCCCTGTGAAAGGGCCGTTCGGCTGCAAAAGGGGTGGCGACCCACAGGTTGAGAACCACTGCTCTAAGTCAAGTCTCCTTTTATCCCCCCTTTACTCTCTTCTACCTCCCCAAACCCCCCTTCCCTCTGGCAATCACCATACTATTGTCTATATCCATGAGTCTTTCTTCTCTTATTTGCTTAATTCCTACACCCTTCTCACCTAGCCCACACACCATTTTTTTCTGACAGCTCTCAGTCTGTTCTATATATCCGTGAGTGTGTCTCCACTTTGCTAGTTTTATTAATTGGATTCCACATAAAAAAGAAATAATATGGTACTTGTCTTTCTCTCGCTGGCTTATTTACTTAGTATAATACTCTCCAGGTCCATCCATGCTGTTTCAAAAAGGTAAGCGTTCCTTTTTTTTTATGGCTGAATAGTATACCATTGTGTAAATGTACCACAGCTTAAAAATATATATATATGATTTCATTGATTTCAGAGAGAGAGAAAGGTAGAGTGAGAAAGGGATAGAAACATCAATGATGAGAATCATTGATCAGCTGTTTCCTGCATGCCCACTACTGGGGATCGAGCCTACAAGCCAGGCATGTGCCCTGACCAGAAATCGAATAGGTGACCTCTTGGTGCATTGGTCAACCTTCAACCACTGAGCCATACTGGCTGTGCTACCACAGCATTTTTATCCACTCATCTACTGATGGGCACTTTGAAACATTCAAATTAATGTTTCAGGTTTCTCTGGATATATTCTCAGAAATAGAATTGCTGGGTCATAAGGCAGCTTCATTTTTAATATTTTGAAATTACATACTGCTTTCTACATTGGCTGCACCAATCTGCATTGCATTCCTACCAACAGAGGATGAGGGTTCACTTTTCTCTACATCCTCACCAACACATGTTTGTTTATATTGATGATAGCCATTTTGACAGCTGTGAGATCTCATTGTGGTTTTTAATTTGCATTCCTCTGATGATTAGTGACATTGAGCATTCATTCCTTCATATGTCTATTGACCATCTGTATGTCCTCTTTGGCAAAGTGTCTATACAGGTCCTTTGTTTGCTTCTTAATTGGATTGTTTGTTTTTTGGTATTGTTCTATTAAGTCCCTTATAAATTTTGGATATTAAGTCCTTATCAAATGTATCAGTGAATACTAGTATGTTGCCCCATTCAGTGGGTTGTCTTTTCATTTTGTTGATGATTTCCTTTGCTATGCAAAAACTTTTTAGTTTGATTTAGTCTCGTTTTTCTTTTATTAAATTCTTTATTGTTTAAAATATTACATATGTCTCTTTTTCCCCCATTGACCTCTCCCCAGCCACCCACCCCCAGCACATGCCCTCACCACCCTACTGTCTGTGTCCATGGGTTATGGTTATATGCATACATAACCTTACCCGCCCTCCTCCCCCCGCCTTCCCTCTGAGGTTGAACAGTCTGTTCGATGCTTCTCTGTTTCTGGATCTATTTTTGTTCATCAGTTTATGTTGTTCATTATATTCCACAAATGAGAGAGATCATGTGATATTTATCTTTCTCCAAATGGCTTATTTTGCTTAGCATAATGCTCTCCAGTTCCATCCATGCTGTTGCAAATGGTAAGTGTTCCTTCTTTATTACAGCAGTGTAGTATTCCATTGTGTAGATGTACCAACCATTTGTTGTTGTTTTTTAGTTTCCTTTGCTGAAGGTGATGTATCAGAAAAATATTACTACTATCAGAAAAATATTGCATGAGAAATGTCCAGGATATTACTGCCTATATTTTATTCTAGGATTTCTTATGATTTTGAGTCTAACATTTAAGTCTTTAATACATTTTGAGGATTCTTGTATATGGTGTAAGAAGGTGGTCTACTTTCATTTTTTGCATGTATCTGTCCAATTTTTCCAACACCATTTATTCTATAGATTGTCTTTACCCTATTGTATGTTTTTCTCCTTCTTTATCAAATGTTAATTGACTATAAAGGTGTGGGGTTATTTTGGGACTCTCTATTCTGTTCCATTGATCTCTATGTCTGTTTTTATGCCAGTATCATGCTGTTTTTATTACTATGGTCTTGCAGTACAGTTTAATATCAGGTAGTGTGATTTATCCAACTTTCTTCTTTCTCAAGACTTCTGTGGCTATCCAGGTTCCTTTGTGGTTCCATATAAGTTTTTGGAATATTTGTTCTAGTTCTGTGAGGTACACCATTGGTATCTTAATAAGAATTGCATTGAATCTATAGATTGCATTAGGTAGTATGGACATTTTAATGATGTTAATTCTTCCTATCCATGAATACAGTATATCTCTCCACTTGTTTGTATC